ACAATAAAAATTAATTTTTTGTTTATTTTTGGACGTTATATTTTTCTATAATGTTAATAATAAATGATTATAAGAATGTTGTTCTTCTTGAACTCATGGTTCAAAAATTTGTTATTCTTCAGAATGTTCATTCAATCAGAATATGTAATTTGTTAGAAATACGAGACATAATCCTCAAACCGAAGAAACATGCACATGGCATTCATCAACACAATTCAAGAGAACATTTGAAAATTGAATCAAAATCATTTTTCATAAATGATGCCAAATTTAAAAAAAAAGATTGACGATTCAATCGTAGCTGATACTATTCTAACTGAAATCAATTCATCTCGTAACGAAGAACAAATCGATTCAGTTTATTTGACTTTTGAAGAACATCAAAACACTATTCGTATTGAAGATCTAAAAATTTGATAAATTAATTTTTAAAATAGTTTAATCATATATGATTATATAGTATAATATGTGATTAATCATATAAGACATTGTACAAAAAAAATATGATTATACATCATAAAATATGATTAGATTAGGATGAATACTCATATATGATTATTCATATGTATGATTAATCATATTTATTTATAGTTTGTAATTCTGATTTATCATGTATGTTTTCGAATTGAAATATATATTAATCGTATATTAGGATGAATAATCATATATGATTATAAATCATAAAAATATGATTAATTGTCACACCCCAAAACCAAGAACGGCGGAAACGTTCTGGGGCGGAGGACGTCATGTAAGTATCACAACACAGTAAATGTAAATAAGCAAACAACATCATCCATTGCATTAAATATATAATTTTAATACAAGTGTGTTCTGTACATTGTAGACACCAAAAATAACGTATATCAAAATAATAAGATGAGTCTTGAATGCGCTCCATCTTCTCAAAAGCTGGCCTCGGTACCTGTCTACTGATGACCTGAGAATACAAGTTATTTTGAAAGAGTTTATCAGCATTAAGCTGGTGAGTTCATAAGTATTTTAGTGTCTGTATTTGTCATTCAAAAATGTTTGAACATGTATCAAGTATAAGTTTGTAAAATGTATGTAAAAGTTTGCAATTGTTTGTAAAAGTTTGAATCTCTCAGAAAAACCTATATTTTCTATTAAAGAAGCCTTCTACCAAGGCTTAACTGTTTTGGTATGTTCGTTTGATGTAAAAGTGTGTAATTTCCCAAATGTAACTATCATTTAACAAAATATAGTTTGTACATAAACGTTTAAGTGAGGTTATCACTAAAAATATGTAATGGGTAAATTAATGTAGTACTGTAGCCTTGTATTATAAGAACTACTGTGGTACTAACTACCTTAAACCGGATTTATATTAAGGCATTACGTGATAAATTGCACCATACTATCGACTAGTAATAACGACAAATGAATGGTCGTAATAACGGAATAACGTTTGGCACCCGCAGACCTGCAGGTCCGACTGTAGCTAGCAGCAAGGTGTAGGATTGTCAATCCAGTATAGATCTATACGCAAACTCACGCTCTCCCTTCAAGAGAATTCTGGCTACAACTCGAGCCATGACAGTTAAGTCATGCTCCGATTTAAATCACAATAATAAAGTATTCATGTATATGTACTGTTTCTTGTTCTAGTATATGTATATGTATTGTTTCTAGCAACATTGTATATGTATTGTTTCTAGTATATGTATATATATTGTTTCTAGCATCATTGTATATGTATTGTTTCTAGTATATGTATATGTATTGTTTCTAGCATCATTATATATGTATTGTTTCTAGTATATGTATATGTATTGTTTCTAGCATCATTGTATATGTATTGTTTCTAGTATATGTATATGTATTGTGTTACCCCGATGGTAACTAACTATTGATGTACTGATAAATATGAATATGGAAGTACTTTTATGTCTATACATGTATATATGATATATAACTAATGTTGAAACGACCTTCGGATGGTCACCCGAAGTCCCACCAGACCACATCTCAGTGCGCGAAAAGGAAATAGGGCGGATGGCCTTCCTAAGCCTTTTAAACATTACTTATATATATATATATATATATATATATATATATATATATATATATATATATATATATATACATATATGGGCATGCAATTTATAAGAAGTAAAACAAAGTTATATAAAAGCATTTGATAAGTAAAAAAAGTTTGTAAAACATTTGAAGTGAAACAGTTTGATAAACAGTTTGAACATTGGTAAAAATCGTTGTTTTCCTAGTTATTAATCACATGTGATTAAATGAAATCACATGTGACTGAAGCAATAACTATAAGTATTTGACTTGTATCCCCCCCCCCCTATAAAGTGTTTAAAACATTTAAAATCATTTCAAAGGTTGATTCAAGGGGTAATGAACTCACTTGTGGTGAGTCGTTTGAATTGATGTATCGGGTACCGTGCTAAGTGTCAAACGGAGACTTGTTCACACGTTCGAGCCTAGTTATCATATAATAAGCATATATATAACTAATTAGACAAATAATAACTTAAATTAATAAGTTAAGACACTTAGGAAACATGTAAACACTTTTATGAGTGTTTAGGGTTCAAATGGTTGCATCTAAGTGGCTACGGGACAAGGCAAAAGGGTTTGAAACATCAAATGGCCTTGCATAGGAGTTCACCACCCAACAAACCCCACACCTTGGAGTTTACGGCCGTAAACTCATGGGTTTATGGCCGTGAACTCCTCAAAGGGTGGTTTTGGTTGTTTTAGGGTGCTATCTTGATCCTAGAACACTCCTAGCTTTGTTGGAATAACACATGAAGTAGTTTAAGGCTCTAGTATACTCCATAGTGGAGTTTTTGGCCTAAAGTCCTCTCACCCTAGAGTTTACGGCCGTAAACTCTTGGATTTTAATTGATTTGAGGCTCTTAAACATCAAGGATGGCTTCCATGAATTTATCTAAGGCTAATGGGGACAAGATGCACACATTTAGGGCATCACTTGGAGTTTACGGCCCAAGATATGTTCATTGGCCGTAAACTCCTTTCAAGGAGTGGTTTTGATGTGTTCTACTCTCCATTCTAGTCCCAAGTATGCAAGGTAAATTGTCTTAAGGCCTAAGGTGTGCTTGGAATGATTTTTAACATAAGAAAGAGGGGTTTACGGCCCAAGATCCTTTCCTTGGCCGTAAACTCCTAAAAGTCTATCATTTTGAAGTGTTTTCAAGTCCAAAACAAGCACAAGTACTAGTGGTTAAAGTCCTAAGGCTCAAGGAGGCAAGTTAGGGCATGTTTGTCCATTTGAAAGGGGTTTACGGCCCAAGAGTTCTTTGGCCGTAAACTCCTCTAATCTTGTGTTTTTGGACATATAAATGATGTTATAAAGCACATAGCAAGTATTAAAACATGTTTAGGAAAGCAGACTCATAATCCGGGATGAAAACCCGAAGATCCGTCAAAGAGAATTGGCTTTTCTCTAGTTGGAATTGTAAATAATGAATTAATTTAGTTCAGAAAACTATTTATTGTCCTGGAATATTTTGACAGAAAATATTTTTATTCCAGAAGTCGGACTATAACATTGTGAAACTTACAATGTTCAAGTTTCACGATCACAGGAGCATCCATTCTCCGGATATGTCCAGAAACGTAAACCCTAATGTACACAAACTTGTTCGGACAAGTCTGAAATTTACAGAAATTGGACTAGCTTGTATTGAATAGATGATGTTTGTACAAATGAAAATTTCGGGTTGTCACATTAATCATATATTACACACTACAAATACATATGATTACCTATAAATTAATACGTATAATCAGTACAGTATATGATTAATCATATAAGACAATGTACAAACATATATGATTTAACATCTAATAATATATTAATATTTATAATCATATATGATTTTTCAAACTAAAATATAATTAATAATATATTACACTATATAAATACATATTGTTAATCACATATGATTGTTACATCATAAAATTGTATAATAACATATTCATCATTTCCTTTTGTATCAGGTGAAAGTTCTAATTCAACAAATGAATCGTATTGCAGTAACATAATTGAAGAATCTGAATATAAACCAGAAGTCCCTCCAAAATTTGTACCAGTTGTAAACAATGTTTTCAAATCACTAAATTTGGCAGTAAAAATGTATACTGATTATGCAGAAATGGCAGGTTTTCATACAAAACAAAGTAGCCAATCAAAATACAATAGCCAATAAATAAAGAAAAATATATTATACGCAATAGGGGTGGCAAGGATAAACCAAAACCTTGTGATACATTGGCTACAAGTTCTATCATGAGGAAACCAAATTCGAACAAGATAATTAATAGGTGTACAACAAAGATTATATTTGAAAATGTTTATGGAACAACATATTACAAAGTTAAGAAATTCTTTGAATTACACAACCACCCACTGGAAAGTATTGAGGAAAGACCTTACACAAAAAATGCAAGAAATATGTCATATTCTGAAAAAGAGTTTGTAGTAAGTAGGGATGAGCAAAAGGACCGGGGAACCGGCCGGAACCGGTCCCGGAACCGGCACCCGATGGAACCGGTCGAGCCGGGACCTATACTACAAATTTGTGATTTTTTGGAACCGGGACCCGGAAAGAACCGGCTATTGGAACCGGCCCAAAACCGGGAACCGGCCCGGCTTGCGATACACACAAAAACGCACGATCGAATCTTGCGATACACACAAAAAAACGGCGACGGCGACGGTCTCAAAACAAAAAAAAAAAAAAAAACGCAAATTGCGATCGTTCTTTCATCCCTACTTGTAAGTCACGGCCACGATCCCAAGTCCCAACTCCAAGCAAACGATCGAACCCTACTCGCTTCAACAATCGGCAATCACTTCATCATCATTCAATTGATCAATTCTTCATCTCCAAGTTTCCAATGATTACAAGTTTCCATCTCCAAGTTTCAATCGATCTTCAATTCTTTATCATCATTCATTGATTTTCAATTTTTCATCTTCAATTGCTTCAATGATTCAAACTATGGATGTTCATGAAGATCAAGTAAGAGCATATATTTATATTTCATGTTTTAAGATTATATACTTCAATATTAGCTTCAAATCTTCAATGCTTCAATGATTCACCAAATAATGGCATGCATGCAAGTTTTTTTTCTTTGGTTTTGTTGTCTCCATTCCAAATATATGCATTGTTATCCCTACTTAATTAAAAGATCTTGATTTTTGATCATAGTCTCATAGTGGAGTACTCCTTTACGGATGAAAGGTTGTACATATAATATATGTTTCATGTTTTAAGCTCCATTTAACAATGTACTTTGTAGACATACATGCAAAATTTTTGTTAGATTAGTTTATTGTTTATAGTATGAATGTAATTATGTAAGATTGTCAAAACTACGAATTTGTATAGTACTTTTGTTATATAATTAATGTGTAAAATTGACATTGTAGGATTTGGATGGGCTACCAAATGTACCATCATCAAGATACCGAAACTCGGATGCTCATGATGCCAATAATGAAGATGGTAATCCGGCTAATTGGATTGGAAAAGACTTTGATGACCAAGTAAGATTAGTATTTAGCTCATTAGCAATATTTATTTCTTTAGCAATCTGTCCAAATATTAAATTGTGCATAACTCGTTCAATTTAACTTGTTTTGACCTGAATCTTTTTCCTACATGTAGATTAGGATTTGTAGTTGAGTTTAGACTATAAAAACGCTTGATTTGGTTAAAAATTGAATGAGTTACAAGCCCCGTAAGGAAGGGTGTCAAATCTGAATTTTTTTTTCTAACAGCAATATAACGTCATGTGATTTTGTTGTTCAAATGTGCATAACTCATTCAATTTAACTTGTTTTGACCTGAATCTTTTTCCTACATGTAGATTAGGATTTGTAGTTTAATTTAGACTATAAAAACGCTTGATTTGGTTAAAAATTGAATGAGTTACAAGCCCCGTAAGGAAGGGTGTCAAATCTGAATTTTTTTATATTTATTTTTCAGCATTTAAACGTAATATGACTTATTATATGTTTTATTTTGTGAATATAGGATTATGGAGAAGATTCAGAAGAAGATTATATAGAAGAAACACCGGCATTGAATGTTATACCAAGTGATGAATCAAACCAAGAAGAGGAGCCACAAGAACAACAACCTTCAAAAAAACGAAAATTTGCAACCACACAAAAACAAAGACAACCAAAAAAACCAACACAAACAAAAAAACCACCACCACCACAAAAACGAACACAAGAAAAATACCCAACAAAACCAAAACCCAAAAACAAAAAAAAGACTCAAAAGGAGTTAAGGGACCGGATTAACCCAACCAGACGAGGTGAGGGTAGAGATAATTGTACCGCTCCTGTTTGGAAATACTTCGAGATCGAATGGATAAAGGAGGACGATGGAATTGAAAGAAAGTGGGCCGAATGCAATTATTGTTTACATTTACTAGCCGCAGATCCAAACCGGAATGGTACAACTTCAATAAACAAGCATTTTAATGGGTGCAAGTTAAATCCAGACAACATACCGAAACAAGTTGATGACAAACAACAAAAGTTGTCATTTACGAAAGCTCCTAATGGTGAGGGTCATGTATACACATGGAAACATGATACTAGGATCCAACTTGCCTTGCTAGGGCTTTTCACCATTGGGGAACTACCATTTAAATTCATTGAAAACGAGGCATTCATAGAATTTGTAAACGCCCTTAATGGTAGGGTGAAATTGCCTTCAAGGCATAAAATTTCTCGTGATGTTGTGTCATTCTATTTAATGGAGAGGCAGAAGTTGTACAAACATTTGAGCAACCCCAAAACAGCCATCCACTTGACAACCGACACGTGGACATCCTCGTGTCAAAAGATAAATTATATGGTTGTCACGGCCCACTTCATTACCGAAGATTTTGTCATGCACAAAAGGGTAGTCAACTTTAGAGAGGTTGATACTCACAAAGCTGAAGACATGGCCCGAGAGTTGCTAATTTGCATAAACGAGTGGGGGATGAAGAATGTCATGACGATGACCGTTGATAATGCCAAGACAAATGACGCGGCAATCAACATCATTGTGAAAGAACTACCGGGTATTTACGAGAATGGCAAACATTTTCACATTAGGTGTATGGCTCATATCATAAACCTAGTTGTGAAAATGGGGTTAAAACACGAAGTTTATCATGTAAAAAACCTACAAGATGCGGTGAAATACATTAGAGCCTCCCCGCAACGGATCAAGACGTTTAAACAAGCCATGAAGGATGCGGCTGTAGAAAGTCAAAGGTTTTTGTGTGGTGAAACTCCAACAAGGTGGAACTCTACCTTTGAATTGCTAAGATCAGCGTACGATGTGAAAGACGCATTTCTCGAATATAGCCATCAAGGTAAATAAAATCAATTAATCAAATATATTTCAGCACTAAAATTAGCAATATTTATTTCTTTAGCAATCAGTCCAAATATTAAATTGTGCATAACTCATTCAATTTAACTTGTTTTGACCTGAATCTTTTTCCTACATGTAGATTAGGATTTGTAGTTGAATTTAGACTATAAAAACGCTTGATTTGGTTAAAAATTGAATGAGTTACAACCCCGTAAGGAAGGGTGTCAAATCTGAATTTTTTTTTCTAACAGCAATATAACGTCATGTGATTTTGTTGTTCAAATATGCATAATTCATTCAATTTAAATTGTTTTGACCTGAATCTTTTTCCTACATGTAGATTAGGATTAGTAGTTGAATTTAGACTATAAAAACGCTTGATTTGGTTAAAAATTGAATGAATTACAAGCCCCGCAAGGAAGGGTGTCAAATCTGTTTTTTTTTTCTAACAACAATAAAACGTAATTTGATTGTGTTGTTCTTTTTTTGTAGATCCAATGTTTCAGAAAACTGTGGGAAGGGTACCATCACATTCAGATTTTGAGATGATTAAAAAGATGATGGAGTTCCTTGAGAAGTTTAAGAAGAAAACTGAAAAAGTTTCGTGTTCAACAAAGCCTATCTTCCATACGTATACCCGGGAGATCCTAGATATAGAGCAACATCTTAGGAAACATGAAACCAACCCGGATTTTATGTTTATGGTACCGGATATGAAACATAAATATGACAAATATTGGGGTGACTATGATACTATAAGTGATTATGTCTTCTTTGCGACATTGTTAGATCCTCAATGCAAGTCAAAGTTTATGAAAGTTGTTTTTACCCAAATGCTTAAAGCCAAAAACAAAGATAAAAAGATGTCCGCTGATGAGATAGAATCCAAAGCACGTGCAAAGGTTATTGATATTGAATGCAAATTGGACAAGTTTTTCAAGACATACTTGGAAAGGTCAAACATGACCTCATCGTCTCAACAAGAAACTCCCGAAGAAGTTGTTAATTTTGATGACGAAAACGAATTCTTTGGAAGCTATATGACTTCGGGAAGTTTCCCCTCGACTTCCTCAGAAAGTCAATTGCAATGATACTTAAACGAGGACCCAATCGGATTTGACAAAGGATATGATATCCTCACATGGTGGAAAAATAATGCAGTGCGGTTCCCGATCGTTGCTCGAATGGCAAGAGGTATCGACCTTCTTTTACTCTAATTTAAATTTTTAATTTATAAATTTGTGTCGTGTATTATACACTAATTTGTTTATTAATAGATATTTTGGGGATGCAAATTTCCACCGTAGCATCCGAATCCACATTCAGTAATGGTCGTCGAGTAATTACCGACTACCGTACTAATTTGTCCGTTGTGATTGTGGAGGCATTGATATGCACTCAAGATTGGCTAAGAAAGAGTAGCTTGCCTATATATGACTACGACGAAGTGCACGATGTGTTAGCTGACGATGACCTCGCTATCGGTAATACACTAATACTTGTTACATCTTATTTTTAACTTCTTATTAGTATTTGTTACATTTTAGTAAGTAATAACATTTTTCTTTTGAATTATATATAGACATTGTGGATGCTATACACAACTTGAAGCTAACGGGGAAGAGATCGGGGAATTAGTCAAAATATCAAAGAAATGTTGGAATCCACATATTAGACTTTTTTTTTTTTTTGTTGGTGAAACTTGGAAGTATATTTTGAATGTCGAAAGTGTATTTTGAATGTTGAATGTTTGAATGTTGGATACTTAATAATATAAGTTTGACGACATCCATGTTTAATTTGCTTCAATGTTCAATTGTTTATTAAAATATTTATTATTAAAATGTTGATTATTTACTAGTATTTAAACATCCTCTTCTTCATAAAAAACCAATAAAACGCAAAGTAAATTAGTCGTTGGAATTACTCGAAAAACCGGCAAAAATCGGACCCGAAAAACCAATAAAACGCAAAGTAATTTAGTCGTTGGGTACATCAAAATTTAGCCGGTTCCATACTCGAAAAACCGGCAAAAACCGGACCCGGAACCGGAACCGGTGGAACCGCCGGGCCGGTTCGGTTCTTCATTTTTGCCGAAGCCGGTTCCCGGTCCGGTTCGGTTCCGGCCGGTTCGGTTCTTTTGCTCAACCCTAGTAGTAAGTGTATCAAAAGCTAAAACTGGTCCAACAATGGCTCACAAAATACGAGCAGTTTTGAAAGGAGGATATGAATATGTAGGGGTGAATGTAACAGAATACAAACACTTGAGGAGAAGAGTAAATAGAATCTTATGTTACAAGGATGCTCAAATAATGATAAACAAAATGAATGATCATAGAGATCATTACCCAAATTATTCATTTGAGTTCCTACGTGATGGAGATATGTTGGTTTCTATGTTTTGGGTATATAAAAGACAAAAAGGCTTTTTATGCAGAGTTTGGAGAAGTTATATCTTTTGATGCAACTTTTAGAACAAACAAGTAAGTTGACGTATATACTTTACATAATTTATACATTTATGATTAAAATAAAAAAACATACTATTAATCAAATATGATTGTACTAAAAAAATTTCTTTATATAGGTATAAAATGGTATTTGTTCCATTCACAACAGTTGACCACCACAAGAAATCAGTTATTGTTGGCATTGGGTTGATTAGTAAAGAGACAATTGAGTCGTATGAATGACTAATTAAAGCTTTTCTTAGAGCTCATGAATGGAAAGCACCAAAAATTGTTCTAACTGATCAAGATCCAGCAATAAAACAAGCAGTGGAATCTATCTTACCAAATTCAAGACACATAGGTAAGTACTTGTCCCAGTTACCACCGAACTCCAAAATGCATGCACGAAGCATATCTTCTATTGTTTGGATTGATCTCTCCGTATGAATGTCTGTCTGAGGATGATAAGTTGTGCTGAGAGCGACTCGAGATCCCAATTCACGTTGCATACTCGTCCAAAAGTGAGAAGTGAAGCGAGTATCACGATCAGAAATGATCTTTAATGGCACACTATGTCTCGCAACAATTTCATCAAAGTATACTTGTGCGTATTTCTTTATTGGAGCCGTTTCATGCATGGTAAGAAAATGAGTGCTTTTATTCAGGCGGTCGACGATTACCCAAATGCTATCATGTTGTCTAGCAGTTTTTGGAAATTTGGTAATAAAATCCATGGACAGTTCTTCCCATTTCCATACAGGAACATTAAGACTTTCTAGAGTTCCGTAAGGCTTTTGGTGCTCTGCTTTGACTTGTAAGCATACTAGACACTCTTGCACATATTTTCCAATGTCTCTTTTTAATCCAGACCACCAATAATCAGCTCTTACATCATAGTACATTTTACTTGTACCAGGATGTATTGATAGTTTTGATTTATGGGCTTCATCTAAAATCTTATGTCTTAATCCGCCGGTCTTTGGAATCCATAGTCGATTCTTAAATACCTTCAGTCCTCATGGATCATCAAGTAAAACATCAGTATAATATATCATCCCTTCTTTCTTCACATTTTTGGCTTTAAGGCCTCTTTTTGCCATTTCTGTAGTTCATCAAGAATAGTGAACTTCACTGTAGTGTGAGTAATAGTATAACACATACTTTTAAGATAAAATTTCCTGCTAAGTGCATCGGCAAATACATTGGCTTTTCCAGGATGATACAGGATTTCACAGTCATAATCTTTGATCAGCTCCATGGCTCGTTATTGTCTCATATTCAAAGTTTGCTGACTGAATACGTACTTGAGACTTTTGAGGTCGGTAAGCAATTGGCATTTTGTACCAAAAAGATAATGTCTCCAAAGTTTTAGGGCAAATGCCACTACAACAAGTTTAAGATCATGGGTGGGATAATTCTTTTCATACTCTTTCAGTTGTCTTGAGTCATAGGCTATCACTTTACCACGCTGCATCAACACGCAACTGAGACCCAATCTTGAAGCATCGTTATACACAGAGAAATCATTATCACCTTCTAGAATTGATAAGCTTGGAGAATGAGTCAAAAGATCTTTTAGAGTTGAGAAAGCTTTTTCTTGAGTTTCACCCCATTCACACTTTGATTTATTACGTGTAAGACTAGTGAGAGGTACATCTATACGAGAATAATCTTTTATGAACCTCCGATAATAACCCGTGAGACCCAAGAAACTGCGAATTTCAGAAGCATTATGAGGTGCTTCCCAATTCTGAATGGCTTTGATATTGGTAGGATCTACGGATATACCGTCACCAGAAATCACATGGCCGAGAAATTGAACTTGGCGAAGCCAAAATTCACATTTCGAGAATTTAGCATACAGTTTCTCCTTTTGAATAAGTTCTAATACCACGCGAATATGAACGACATGATCAACTTCAGATTTAGAATAGATTAGAATATCGTCAATGAATACGATGACCGATTTATTGAGCATTAAGTGGCATACCCGATTCATCATCTTCATGAATACGACAGGGGCATTTGTTAAGCCGAATGGCATGAAAAGGAATTCATAATGCCTATATCGAGTAGGAAAGGCAGTCTTCGGTACATCCTGCTCATGTACTTTCAACTGATGATAGTCAGATCTCAAATCAATCTTCGAGAAATAACTAACACCCTGAAGTTGATCGAACAAACTGTCGATGCGAGGTAGTGGATACTTGTTCTTGATAATGACCTTATTTAGCTCACGGTAATCAATGAACATTCGCACCGATCCATCCTTCTTCTTGAAAAACAATACTGGAGCACCCCAAGGAGAGGTACTTGGTCAAATGAAGCCTTTGTCAATAATTCCCGCAGTTGGATCATCATTTCCTTCATTTCGGCGGGTGCAAGACGATAAGGAGTCTTTGCAATTGGAGTAGCAACAGGTACAAGGTCAATTCGGAATTCTACTTGCTTGTCAGGAGGAAGTCCAGGAAAATCTTCAGGAAAAACATAAGGATATTCGTTAGCAACGGGAACATCATCTACCGTTTTCTTTTCCTCTTTTGCTATATTGACGGTGTAAGCTAGATAGATAGAACACCCCTTCGCTATGAATTTACGAGCTTTTAGGAAAGAGATTATTTTTAAGTTTCTTTGTTGACCGTATACATAAATAGGATTCTACCCTTCAATAGGAATACGTGTTATCTTTTCATAGCATAAGAGTTTTGTGTGGTTCTTTGACAACCAATCCATGCCGAGAATAATATCAAAGTTGGGCAAGGAGACAGGAATCAAGTTAGCAAGGAAATTATAGCCTTAAATTTCTACGACACAATCCTTATAGATTTTATCAGCAAGTAATGATATACTTCCCGCAGTATTTACGTGAAATGGTTGCGCGAGTGCATAACAAGCAGTTTGAAAAGAATGGGAAAATTCATGATACACAAAAGAATCTGAGGCACTAGAATCAAATAAGATGTGAGCAGGTCTAGAGTGGATAAGAAATGTACCGTTCACAACATTCGGGTCCTCGCATGCCTCCTCCGTGGTAATATGGAATGCACGACCCTTAGCTTTTGGCACCTCCTCCTTTTTAGGTTGAGTACTCTTTGATTGTTGAATAGGAGCTTGACTTCTCGTTGGTTATTGAACAGAAGCTTGACTCCCCGTCACCTGACTAGTAAGAGTAGGATAGAAGCGTTATCTGTGGCCACAAGCAAAACATGTAACATCCTTCATGGGACAAACGGGCTTCTTGTGGCCTATTTCTCCACATCCAAAACAGACCACTGATCCTTTTTCTAGTCTGCATTCGCCCGGATGATTCTTTCCACAATTTTGACACAATGGTGATTGAAGAGAAAAAGATTGTGATCTACCACGACCACGAAAACCACTCTGAGATTGCGCTTGCTTGTTATGTTCAAATCGAACAAATTGAGCTGGTGGAATAGAGGGAGCAGAAACAGTTTTTTCAGTACGTGGATGCTTTGGAACAGTAAGAGTGGCACCACGTATCTCCAAATCATGTTTGCATCTTCGAGCATACTCGATAGCTTTATCAAAAGATAAAACATCCCGATTACTCACAAAATTGTGGATTTCATATCGTAATCCTTCCATGAATAACTGAATTTTATCATCTTCAGTTGGAATATATTTTGTAGCAAATCGTGCTTTTTGATTGAATAGCGTTTCATATTCATTCACGGTCATTCCTCCTTGCTTAAGTTCAAGGAACTCCTCCTCCAATCTTCTTCTCATATCTATAGGAAAATACTTCTCTAGTAAGCAGTTTTTGAACATTCCCCAAGACAAATTCTCCTAATCATATTCTTTAAGAGCTTCAAATGTTGCTTCCCACCAGTCCATAGCTTCTCCGGTGAATATTGCGGAGGCATAATTGACTTTGTCTTCATTTATTACATGAGAGATACATAATACTTTTTCCATATTCTGGATCCAGGTAAGTGATGGGTTTTATACAAACAATCTTATGTGTGCATGCAACCCTAGATACGGATCTATGTTTTCACTACTAGTCATACAACTTTAAGAACACAAAAGGATACCTAGCATGCATCTACTATTGACATAGGAGAATAGAATACATACCTTTTGTTGTTATATAGTAATAACAACTAATTCCTTGAGTTTCCTTAGCTCTTGAAAGAAAGTACCACAAGTGTAGTACCTCTAATGGCTCACAAACACACTTTGATTGAGAGGATGAATATGAGAGAGAGGAGGAAGGATAATAAGCTCCAAAATTCGGCCCTAGTAGGGTTTTTCCAAGGGATAGCCGAATTCTAGTGCCTTAGGGTGCTATTTATATTTGAGGCTAGCTAGGGTTTCAAGGTGGAAACCCTAATCCTTTAGCTTAGGGCCTAAGCAAGTCC